CGCAGCCAGCCAACCCGCCTTCCATGCATCCAGCACAGCCACGACACCCTCGCCGACCGCACTCGTGACCAAATCCCCCATCACACAACACAAAGTGTACGGGACTAGTAGTCCCGTATACTTCGCAAAACTTCCCCTTCGGCAAAACCGACCATTTTCGGGGGAAAATGGTCGGTTTTGCTAATTATTTTTCTAAACGGTCATTTTTGCTTATTAAATTTTAAAAAGGGGTTTTTTAAAAATTTTGACATTTTAGCTTAATCATGTTTTGAAACAATACAAAATAATTTTATAGACTTAAAGAAAGATGTAAACTATTGTTATAAAGTCTATAAATAATGAATATATTATTTTATCAAAATACACATATAATGCACTAAAACATGATTTCATTGAACTGAATAAAATTGATATTGATGAAATCATATATATGCATATAAGTATGAAAAAAAAATGTTTTCTAAATATATTTAATTGTTTCATAGTAAAATGTTATGATTTTAGGCCACGACCTTAGGTGGGAATCTAAGGTGTCACCTTAGGAAACAATACCATATATATATATATAATATATATATATATATATATATATATATATATGATATATATATATAATATATATATATATATATAATATATATATATTATATATATGTATAATATATATATATATATATATATATAATATATATATTATATATAAATAATATATATATATATATATATATATATATATATATATATATATATTATATATATATATATGTATATATAATGTATACTATATATAATATCATATGCTATATATATGTACTTATAATATATATGTATATGATATATATATATATATATAATATAATATATATATATTATATATATCTATATAGATAAGTATATATATATATATATACTTATATATTATATGATTATATATATAAATATATATATATAATATATATATATATATATATAATATATATATATATATATATATATATATATATATATACACATATACATTACAATATATACTATATATAATATATATTATACAGACATACACATATATAATATATTATATTGATATTAATATATAATATATATAATAATATATATATATATATTATATTATATTATATCTACAAATATCACATATACATATATACATATATAACATATATATTACAATATATATATATATATATATAATATATAATATATATATATATATATAATATATATATATATATATATATATATAGAGTGCATTTCACATCTGCGAATTCTGACTGCTACGCATTTCGTGTGAACGAGCAAGGGGGTTTTTTGCCAAAACTCCTCGCTACTTTATCTTAAAGTCCTGATCCCGTATCTCTTCTCTCTCACTTCACGTAAAAATCCCCAAATCCATCTCTCTACTCCCAAATAATTCAGCCTCCACCCTCCTCCTAACTCCGCGATCGGGAGATTCGATTCGCCGTCGAGCCGCGCCGACGCAAGGACTCGGCTCGAGCCCGCGACCCGACGAGATTCTCGCTGCCTTCGTGAGCCGTCGAACTTCGCCGGGTCTCGCTCAGGATCTCTAGTTCGCTCTCTCTCCCAGGATTCTCGAGTTTTGCTCCTCCGCCCGTGCGTTGCCGTTCGAACTTCCTCGAGCCCCGACTACTCACCCACGACTCCTCTCCCTCTCTCGCTCGTGACCCCAACATCGCGAGCCAACTCTGACTCCGCCGTGAGATCTCTCCACCAACGGCCCCGAAGATATTCAGGTTAGACAATTTGGCTTTTGCGTACTCTTTCAATTGGTGTTCATTTTTCATTATTTTTCATTAATGTCTAATCCGAAGATATTCAGGTTAGATATTCAGGTTAGACAATTTGGCTTTTTCATTTTTCGGTTCTTGGTATTTTTTAAAGAGTTATTTTTTTAGAGTTGGGTAATCTTCAACCTTGGAAATGTTTGGATTGAGATACGAGGACTTCGATTGATATTATTATTATTATTATCGCAGGTGAAGAGGAGAATACATTTGGGCAATTGTGGCGAACGTGTGGGTGATATATATTTGTTGGTCTACAAGTTGAGGATGTGAAGAAGCCTGTCAATCCATTTTCCTTCCTCTTGCGTTTCATTTTTGGGACATTTTATCCCCTGCTTCAATTGTTTGGCAGTGTACTGTTGGTGTTCATTGCTCACATATAAAAGCTATGGGTTTTGGTTTTACTCAATATAAATACTGAAATGAGAATCATGTTACTTTATGCTTCAGGTGTTAGTTTGACTCTATATAACGACGTATGTATTTTATATAAGAAGCTAATCTGGTCATGCTAAAATGTTTCATGTGTTAGATGCCAGAACGCCATGAAAAATATGTGGATGTACTAAGCGATAGGAACGCAATGAAGAATATGTGCGCATACACTAAGAGATAAGAAATGGGTTTATACGCAAGCGATCAAATGTTCCTATTAAGAATAAAATGAAATATAACCGATTCGAGTGATTTTGCCAACAGTCGTAAAAGACGCACTGCTCTAGCTGCTGAAGCAAAAAACGGTGGATGAAGCCAAATCATATCCATTTCGTGCAACCTTTTTATCAGTAGTTCTAACACATGATTTATCCCCGTACATAGCAAGCGATAACCCGTTTACCAAATACAAGACATATCCTAACACATAACTAATAAAAAAATTTATACATGCACAAAAAAACTCTATTATCGCTCTTTAGTCAAATAAATGCTTGAAAGCCATTACAAGGAGCGCTCGTACAAAAGCTCCAATTTACATACCACCAATCTGCATAGAAGCCAAAATTATTAGCTTCATGGGGCATAACAGGATGGGGGGATTCACCACGCAAAAGCATAATATGTATTCACAACGTTATTTCCCTTTGAGCCATCTGCATTAACCATAAAGTATTGCCCTGTACAAACAACTACATCTACCCACATAAATCACTTTTGTTTACATTTCATCTCAAATACATCCTACTTTCTATACATAGACACCATACACAGTTCAAAGCATCCATCTCTGTAGTGGTAGTTTATACTAAAGTGGGTGGTTCAACTTGATGACAACAGCTTCATCATGAAATCAAACTGCATTCCAGGAGCAGTCTTAGGCTGAGGCCATTTTGCTTGCTCTGGAACTTTGATGATCTTGAATCCCTGGCCTTTATACAGTTATCTGCCATCCAAAGATTAATTTGTCTGTAACAATTATCATGAGGATCAGCATCCAATGACAACAAACTACAACAAAAGAGCAATAATAGACGAAGGATGTATAAAATGAAAAGGAGGGTTCATAAAAAATTAAACGAGATGAAGGAATCCAATATTCTCAAACAATTTTCAGGAATCATAGTTCACAAATATTTGTTGTAGATGCACACTGTACCAAAGAGGAATCTATTCTTTTCTTCACCAAGTCAGTTTGCAAAAAATCAAAAGAGTATTCCAAACTCACAAAATAGCAACAATAAACAGACATCATGAACATCACAAACTCACAAAATAGCAACTATGACAGAAAGATATGAACACTTCACTGCGTCTTGAACCAAAAAAGTATGACAAAAATATGTTGTTATAGAGGAAAAACTTTGCATTCCGATAGAATTAGAAAGAAAAAGCCCTGACTTAGGACTTCCCGATATTTAGGTACTTGATCTATGAAAACATCATACATTGTCATGTAACTCATGTCTCTATGAGGTGTGAATCTCGCAAGTGAAAATGAACCATGCCATGCCTCCCCACTTTCATCACAAAGATATGTAACCCATGCTCAAAAGGGAGGCCATCAAGTACTGTAGTGGTGAATCACATATCAGGCACAAAAGAGCAACAAACCACTCTAAGGACCAATCAAGATATATAATAGTAGTTAATCATAAAAATTCAATTCTATCTTTTTAACTCTTTTTTCCTAAATGTAAATGAACAAACCACTCTTTGTTATTCCTCTTTCTCTATGAACATCCAACAGTCGAATACTAATGAATACCTTCCTGTACCAGGCAAAAGAAGGTCGACTTCTTCATTGCCAGCTGCTGATGCTCGTAACATGCTTCCTCTAATATGTGAACCCGGAACTGTACTCGCTGAACCTGGTTCATGCGTTACTAATAGCAGGCCTGGCAGAATTGTGATCTCATCTTCCAATGGGACACCAACTACAGAGAATGTACATCAATTAGTTAATTATTGATAGGAGTTATGGAGCAAACAAAAATATAAATCATTGTGTACAGTCGTTACTAATTAACAAAAGCAGATTAATCTCAGGCCAACAAGATTGTCATGACTCAGCTTCAACAGGAAAACATATCATAGTTGAATTAATCAGAAGCAATGAGCGTCAAATTAAAGATTTCTCCGAATATTATTTTAATGAAGAAGCAAATTTTCAATACCATCTATCACAGGAGAACACACTAAGAGCCGTATTGAGATCCAAAGGGGCTTTCGTGAATTAATCAGAACAAAGATCAAACCTTGAGGAACCGGGTAGCGGAGGAGGAGCTGCGAGATCGCGGAGGAGGGCTGAAGGCGGAGGAGGAGCTCGACGGCGAGATTGCGGAGGAGGGCTGACGGAGGGCGGGCCCGGCGGTGATTTGGTGTCGTGGCGGCGTGGCATCTCGTCGGGTCGGCGGCTCGAGGAAGTTCGACGGCACGGCGAGAGCACGAGATCTGGGAGAGAGAGCGAACTAGAGATCCTGCAGCGAGACCCGGCGAAGTTCGACGGCTCGAGCACGAGATCTCGTCGGGTCGGCGGCTCGAGCACGGTCCTTCGTCGGCGGCGGTCGACGGCGAATCGATCTCCCGTCGGCGGAGTTAGGAGGAGGGTGAGGCTGATTTTTGGGAGAGAGAGATGGATTTGGGGATTTTTACGTGAAGTGAGAGAGAGAGAACGGGATCAGGACTTTAGATAAAGTAGCGGAGGAGTTTTGCAAAAAACCCCTTCTCGTTCACAAATGCGTACGCATCAATTCGCATGTGAAATGCTCATGTGAACACCGGTTGTAGCCGTGAGGTCGGATGGATCGACAGAGAGCCCGAGGCGGTGGAGGACGAGGGAGAGCTCGGAGGAGGAGCTGAGGCGGTCGGAGTTGCGGTCGAAGAGGAGGATGAGGAGGGGATTTCTTGACGGAGGAGGAGGAGGGTATACGTGGGACGTCGCGTCGGCATCGGCGTCGAGAGAGGGAGGAGGGGAGGCGTCGGCGTGAAGAGATGAGAATGAGAGAAGAGAGGGATCTGGGGAGGGTGAGGGGTTTTGGGTTCTGGGGAGTTGGGGCAGAGAGAGAGAGATAGGGAGTCATCTTCGTTTGATTGAGGCCAGCTGGATTCGAAAAGGGGTGATTTTTGCAAAAATCACCCTGCAGCTCAGGAGTGCGTACGCACTAGTGCGCATGTGAAATGGACTCTATATATATATATATATATATATATATATATATATATATATATATATATATAATATATATATACTATATTAGTATCATGAGATTATGAGATTAATGGGTGTCCGCTATTCAAAGAGGGGATTTCCTCCTGTGAAAATTGATAGTGGCACAATCCCTGAACATGTGAATAAAGCTAGGAGAAGAGAATATCACATGCGTGGGGATTTGTGGGCCACTCATTTTCAGGAGGAAATACCCATGCCTATGACATAGGATGACCGGCCATTATTCTCTATATATAATACATATGATGTGTGTGTGTGTGTGTGTGTATAACCTAATATCATATATTATGTGTGTGTGTATATATATATAATATATATAATATATATATAATATATATATAATATATATATGTATGTGAGTGTGTGTGTGTACGCTGCGCGTGCGCGTGTGGGTGCGTGCGTGTGCGCGCGTGCCTATTGATCAACTTGATCTAAATATAACTATTTATTAAAGAAAGAATGTTTGTCATCATCAATTAATGCAATATGTTGTATGGTAACTATATACCATTTCACGAATGAGAAAAATGAGTATGCTTGATACCAAGAACAAATTTTGTCACTTTCTTTTTCCATTCCTCAAAGATATCCAGAACCTCAAGTTTATGCTTCATGTTATACACCCAATTCATCCTAGAATAATCATCAATGAAAGTGACAAAATAATTAACACCACCAAGAGATGTGTTCTTGAAAGGACCCCAAACATCTGTATGAATGTAATCTAATATACCTTAGGTGTTATGAATTGTGGTTCCAAATTTTACTTTTGTCTTCTTCCCAAGTATGCAATGTTCATACAATTCTATCTTGTAGGTCTTTGCACTCTTCAATAGCCCATGTTTTGTCAATGTCTGTAGGGACTTATTACAAGTGTGTCCTAACCTCATGTGTCATAAACTAGTGTTTTGGTGGAAAGTTTGTTCTTTCATTAGTGGACTCATTACAACTTCAGTCGTTACAATAAACTCAACAAAAATGAAAACAAAAGATTACAACTCTCTTAATACACACACAACGAATATTTATCACTCGCTGTTTGGGTGAGATCTTTGCCGTTACCGGGGGTTATCCGTGGACCACCAATTGATTATATCTGATATAGATTTTATTGACTCGCAAAGGAATCAAGAAATTGAAGTAACTATCTCGTCGAAGTGAGATAGTCGCTCTTCTCGAGAATCACAGCTAGGTGCGATCTCAAGGAAAATGGATGAACGGATGCAGATCTCTCGAACTCTTTCTCTTTATACTAAATAGCTCATCGAGATCTCTTTCTCCTCTCTAAAATTCGTGCTCCTCACTCTTCAGTTCGATAGAGCTTTGTAAACGCTCGAGAATTTTTTAGATCTGTGTGAATGAAGGCCCTAGGGCTATATTTATAGGCTTCAGAAGCTTGGTTTTTGGATAAGAATGGCCAATAACCTCTTATCTTTAGTTAAAATCTCGTTCAAATCAGTTGAGGGATGTTGGATTATAATCTACCAAAATCTCAGTGGTTAACAGCGAAAAATAGTGAGAAACAACATTTTCAGGACCTGAGATAGCTTTAGTTGGAATTGAGGTTAGCTTAGTTGTTCAAGTCATGAGACCAACTGGTGAAGTTGATGCATCAGTGACTTTTGTCTCTTATTATGATTACCCTTCTGTTTAGAATAGATAAGCATAATACTCATAGGATTTTTGACAAACCCTCAGCCATCAACGGGGTTGAAGTGCCTTTACCGACTACCATTTGAATCGGGCTAGTATGCAGATTGTTTAAGTCCATTCTG